GAAATGTGCAATACGCAAAAAAGAATCATTCGATGATATTACTCACTTGCGTGTCTTTGGTTGTGTTTGTTATGTCCATCTAGATGAAGGTCAACGTACTAAATTGGATCCCCGGAGCATACGGTGTATTTTTGTTGGGTACCCATCTGACCAAAAAGGGTATATGTGCTATCACCCTCCGAGAAATCGACTTTACACATCACGCGACGTCAAATTATATGAAGAATTGAGTTACTACACTGACCGTAACTGGAAGAGTTTGACAGACCTTAACAGACAGGGCACTGAAGGAAACAATTCCCTCACTCAACTCCACAACACATTACGTACTCTTGGCTTACAATTTCCTCTTCAAAATGAAGGTACCCCTCTTCATAATCCAACACGTGGTCCTCTGGTTCCAGTAGCTTCTAACATTGCAGGTGACTCTATGGGAGACCACGACACTGATTCTGCCAATCAGGGGGAAGATCCACCGGTAGACAACGACAACCCAACTTCGGTTTTTCCTGTCGGACCGCCTTCTTCAACTCCGACTCTACCAACAAATTCGACCCCGACGAACGGAGCTTCCTCTCCATCGATGCAAATCGAGGCCCAAGCCTCTGTTATGCCTCTCGCATGGCACGACGAAACAGAGGACCATATCTCTGTTGTTCAACCTCCATCATCTCTCTCGCACAACATTGCCCATATTGATGTCATCAACAACCAATATCAACCTGACGATACCTTTAAGCAACTCAGACGGAGTTCTCGTGATCGAAAGCCAACATGGAAAATCAGGGAGGCTTCCACTAAAACAAACTTAGCTGTTTCCCATCCAATTCAACATTATGCGTCTCTATCTGAATATTTACCTACAGACCAAGTGTTTTTAACCAAATTACTGCAAATTTAGGAATATTTATTATTATGTGTACTTTACTTATTCAAATGTAAGACTCTCATCTATTTATATGTTATTTTGACTATCAATAAAAATATCATTACACAAATTTCTACAGTTGGGGTGTAGGTCTGGAAGCATTTGTCTAGCCAGCTAAGAGTCTGTCGTTCCGTTCCGTTATTGTTATTAAATGGTTTGGGCCATTAAAATAATATAACAGTTGGGTTGAATGGTTGGATCACCTATTTTACAACCAAAAAGTTCAATTCATTAGAAAATTGAGGAGACAAAAACCATTCTAACATCACGATGCCAATAAAAAATTCGCATGCTCCTAATCTCATTAGGAAATTAATGACAAATAGCATAATAAACATGTGAGTAAACTATTTAAAAGAAAAAGAACATTCAAGGATAACTTCTTAATTTCTTTTAGGGAAAAAATACTTAACTTTCAAATTTTGACAAAAAAATATTGAACGTTTTATTTTATTAAATAGACATTAAATTTTTTAAATTTGATAAAACAAACAAACTCTTCTACGATTGTCAAAATAAACAAAATGACTGACGTGATACAAGGAGATGTAAACATGTCAGATTATTTTACTTAGTTTTTTTTTACAATCACAGAAAGTTTATGTATATTTTTGAATCATTAAAAAAAGTTCAGTATTTTTTTGATAATCACATACAAGTTCATATATTTTTTGGATCATTTAAAAAGTTCAGTATTTTTTTAGATCCGTTTAAAAAATTTAATATTTATTTAATAAAATAAAAAGTTCAATATTTTTTTGTCAAAATTAAAAATTGAATAATTTTTTTGAAAATTCCCCTTTCTTTTATTATCTAAAATCACATCATCTATCTCAATTACATATATATATATCATTTTCGAAATGTGCACGAAGACACCTAGGGTTTCATTAACCCTTCTTCGAAACGGCGTTTGGGACTCAATCCAAAACCCTCCCTCTGAAGGAGAGGTTTTCCCTATTTTACTCGAACGCTCAAAACAAAAAAAAAAAAACAAAAAAAAAACAATTATGGGCCACGGCCCACAATTCCAACACATATGTATATGTCCAACTGAATATTTAATCTATCATAAGATATCCAAAAAATACAACAATTTTAGAACCACAACTTCCACAACTTCCAGTAAAATATGGAAAAATATAAAATAACATAAAAAATTATATTTTAGATTAATTCATGTATTTTAATTTAATATAAAATATATTTTTAATAATAATAATATTAGTATTACAAACATATATTTTTAAAATTACAATTTAGATGGTGAAATAATAAGTATAATAAATTGTTTTATTTTTATAAATATTTAGATTCAATGGTAAATATATTAATTTATAATTTAAAATTTCAACTAAATAATGATATATTATTTTAAAATATTATTAATATATTTATGATATAATAATTTGGTAAAAAATTAAATTTTCATATTTTATTTGAACTTACGGTTGGATTTTAAAATGAGTATTTTTTAAAAATTTATGGTTTTTGTAGTTTTTATTTAAAAGAGAAGCAAGTATCAAAATTCATATAATAAGGATATATTTAACTATAAATTATGAATATTCCAACCAAACTTAATATAAATTAGCTATTAGAATAATATTTCAAAGATATTTACGTAAAAATTAAATGATTGTTTTTGTTTTAAATTAACAAGCAAAAAAGGTTAGAAATCTCTTGCTAAATCAGAGTGTTCCAAGTTAAGCAATCTGAATGACAAATGATAGAAACTTGTCCAAAAGATCTTCTCCAAAGGCTTACGTGGCAAACTTACCTAAAGCAAAATGTGACCTTTTCCTACACGAATTTTTAATTTGACAAAAAACTACACCAAATTATCAAATGTGCCAAATTGATACACGAACTACCCAATTTAACTGCAATTTCCTACACAATCCGAAAATGGTGTTAAGTGTCCGTTAACCGCTGATGTGGCACGCCACGTGGCGGCTGACGTGGCACGCCACATAGATTTTTTGCCACATCAGCATGCCACGTCATATTTTTTAAAAATTCCGAAAAATATGAAAAAAAATCGATTTTTTTTTTAAATTTAAAATAAAATAAATAAATAGCAATATATATATA